AATCGGAGCTTTCTACTGTTTGCCGCTCCGGCCCTGTGGCGGTCAGCACGGAGACTCCGTTTTTTTCCTAATTGTCGACGGGGAATCCGATGGACTGATGTGAGTCTGGATGAGCTTTGCGATTCACCAAAAGTGAAGGTTTACTTGTGAGTCTAATGTGAAGGGACCACCCGATCACTGTCAAGTATTCAGTAAAGATCATCAGCCCCATCGTCTACCCTCCCCCATCGTGGGCTTCCATTTTTGTGGAATTTTACACTGCGCTGCGCTGCGAAAACTCGCATTGTTCATCGACCGTGTGACCGGCCATCGGAATCGATCAAGGTCGTCAGTACTCGTGTGGAGGAGTTAAGCTTCCCGTACCTTCGAACGGGAGCATACTAAAATCGCGCAAAAGCCAAAATCGCGCGCAGTGAAAATCGCGTAAAAGCGATTATCGCGCATGAACTAGAATCGCGCGGAACTAAAATCGCGCGACGATGAGAATCGCGCACTAAAATCGCGTACGTGCTAAAATCGCGCGGAACTAAAATCGCGGGACGATGAGAATCGCGCACTAAAATCGCGAACGTGCTAAAATCGCGCGGAACTAAAATCGCGCGACGATGAGAATCGCGCACTGAAATCGCGCATGAACTAAAATCGCGCGAACTCCGAAGTCGCGCGAGAGACATGCACAGTTATTTGTCGCATGAATTTTATTTGGCTTTGAATTTCACAGCATAACTTCGGAGATGCATCGAACTGCATTTAGAAGTGAATGTTTCGAGTTATAGCGCGGATATAGCTCATCGCTTCTTTCTCTCCGAATTTTTCGGCTACTACCTTGAGGTTTTTCTCCACATCCTTGTAGCATCGTCGTTTTCGCGGTCGGTCGAAGCCTGCATCCAGCTGATCACAGCGGAGCTTCGTGATGCTGTTGTCCTTCTTTATCGCTTCGATGAATTTCCAAATAGATGGATTACAGCACATGATAAGAGAGTCGAATCCTCTATGCCAAGCTTCTACAGCATTGTTTGTCCTCGGAAGATCTGATTGGAGACTACCGTAACAATTCCAGAGTTCTTCGACGAATATAGGCGTTTTTGGTCATTCGCGGTACGACTCCTACCCAAGTTTTACGGAAATATTGCAGGAGTTCGTCCAATTCACTCACGTTATCAATGAAAAATTTTGAATTGATCAAGATCTCGAAATATTCATACACTCGCTCAGTCGGGACAAAGGCTAGAGCCATCAGCTGCTTGATGTTGAAAGAATAATTCGCGTCCGATCGATATTTTTTGCATACCGCAGGAATGCTCTGTATGCGCCGCCAAACAGATTGACAGAAATGGTAGTAGCACCCGTGTATATCAACCTCGGGAAAAATCTCAGAAAAAGCCTGAATATAGGCAATTTCGAAGTCGACCATCGCGAATCTCACTCCACAGTCGTCTCCGACAAGATTCTTCACAATTTCCAACAAGCGGAGGTAGCTCCTCTTTTGTTTGGAGGTCAGGAGACAATACAGTGCGACGTAACAGAAGTCGTTTTCGATTACATTGAAGGTGTATAGCTGATAGAAGAGTTGAGGAGCCGTTCTGAATGTACCATCCATGAGCCAAAGATTGTTTCGTTTTAAAGCTTGCAGACATTCTTGCGAGCCGAACACGATGATGCGGTCGTTAGTCGCGTTAGGCCCATCGTCGTGGAGGAGGAAATCGTTTCCTTCGTGATCGACCTTATATTCGTCGGGAATTTCGAGGGACAGCATTGATCGAGGATTCTGAAGATTTTCGTTCTTCCTAACATAATTCACGGTTCGTTTCATTTGATGCACCGGTGGAAGGGATGAAGAGGTTCCTGGTGCCATTTCTGACAGTCGCTGGGAAACCAACTGGCAGGGGTTGCCGAAGGATTTTTTTGCGTCTTCTCTGATATTTTGCAGAGTTTTACGCTTCTCGACATCACCGTAATTAGGAGCATGACTGTGTTCTTGCCTCAGAGTATGTGATCCATCTCCGTGCTTCCACAAGCGTCCCTTGCAAGACTTTGCTTTCTCTTCGACACATCGCCAAGTTGATTTGTCCGTCGATTGTCTTTCGAAACGGTACACGTAACCTTCATGTTCCAGCAGGTTTTTTCCCTTCTGACTAACCAAACCAAAACTTGGCTGAGTCGCCATATTCACTGAACTACTTCACTCCGAGACTGTCTCTAGAATGATTTAGGGAGTCGATGTTCTGATCGAGAGAATGTTCATTTCGCTTGATATCGACATTCGATGAATGTGAAAGGTCCGATCTTATCTATTTCTCAGCGGTCGAACATGTTTCTCAGAAGCGGCAGAAAATATTATTTTTTTAATAGTTATATTTTTCAGCAAATGCCACGGACTGAGTCAGGTTAGGTTAGGCCCCGCGAGCGAAGCGAGCACGTGCAGATCTGAGTCACTGTGAGGCGGACTAAACCTAAGTAAATGGCGTGCGAAAGCCGTAGTTGGGTTAGGCCGCGGCGCGGCCTAATCCAACTAGAGGCTTTCGCACCCCTTTTACTTAGGTTTATAGCCGAACAGCGTTCAAAGCCATTTTTTCTCCCGCGCGATTCTTGTTTTTGCGCGATTTTAGTTCCGCGCGATTTTAGCATGTACGCGATTTTAGTGCGCGATTTCTGAATTTGCGCGATTTTAGTTCCGCGCGATTTTAGGACGTACGCGATTTTAGTGCGCGATTCTCATGTTCCCGCGATTTTAGTTCCGCGTGATTTTTGTTTTTGCGCGATTTTAGTACGCGATTTTCGACTTTGCGCGATTTTAGTGTTTGCGCGATTTTTCATCGTTGCGCGATTTTAGTGTTTGCGCAATTTTAGTATAGACCCGGCCGTAGTACCGAGAAAGTTTACTGTGTGATCCAGCTCATGGAGAGTCTCGATTGGTAGTCCGGAGGTGCGGCTTTTGAGCACCAGAAGCGAGAATGAGGGAGCATGGGTTCCGCTTTGTTTGGGATGACCTGTAGGGAATCTGCCATATATTTTCTGTCATTGTTGATTCGTCCTTGCAATCAGCCAAATCCTGTCGCCAGACGAGCCTCGCCCGATCAGCGTTTGGCATCGATAGAAAAAAGTCCATTCGACCATTCCGTGGAAGGGGTATTCAGTGGATAGTTGATCCAGGCGAGCGCAGACTTGGACACAGAATCGCCAACGCGACAGATGTGTCTCCGCCGTCTCAATATTTCGCTACTATGGCGATTTTGTAATCGTTCTCGGTCAGAGAGTCGACGTGTCCCGAGCTCTCCCGACGGATCGGGAGTAGCATCCCTGAATTGACATCCAATTTCGCGCGGCATCACCAGACGGCTGGTGGCGAATTCGAAGTCCGCCTTAATCCGAGAATTTTTTCAGAGGACGTCCTTCGCTCCTAGGGAGTGTCGCCCACCTCGTGCGAGCTACGGCTCAGAGATCCCTGCTCCTGTCACACAACACTGTGAGAGTTCGAGTTTCGAAAAGTCGTCTTCTCATTCACTTCAGTGGATGGATCTTCATCGAGGCCCAGAGCTTCGACGCTGCCATTGCGCTACGAAGGACTGAATGAGCTCCATATCCTCAATCCGTCAAAAACGCGAAATTTCCTCTCCTCACCCCGTCCAATTATCTAATCGTTCCTCGGACCAATGGAGAATTCGCGACTCCGACTCTACTATCACGGAATCGCCGAGAAGGAACTGCTCCGCACGTCATTTGCATGCGTTCCCCACAGAGAGCTCGATATTCGTTCTCGCGGAGAATACAGCCCAGGCTCCTTCTTCCAGTCATTCGTGGTAGATGTCGTCATCGCTGCCTTGTGCGGTGGACTGGCAGCTAGGTACATTCTGTGACAGAACTATGTGTTCAGGGTCGCTTCCGCCACAGACATGGCGGCATCCGGTCCGCATCATTAGGAGAACTTTCCCGCGACTCAGGAGAACCCGAACTCCTGGCCATCTGTCTGCTTGTCTGACCGCCTCTTCGTTCGGGAACCTGTTCGCTCAGATATTAAACTCGAGGCTTGCAGTCGCGAGTGAAAGCTTTGTCGCTGTTCTGTGCAATCACTTCGGGCTTCCGACAGCGACAGTCATGCTGCACGCAACGTTCAATTTGGACGGTTCCGAGAAAAAACAAAGCGACAGGGTCTGAATCCTCGCTCCTGATGCGGAATTCCAAACAACGCTCCAAATCTCTAAGGAGAAAGGATTGGATACAGCCATGGCATACACATTGCGTATTTCTTTCGGCGAAGGAGCTCTCCATATCCCCACAATCACTAATCACCATCCCTTAGGCAGAGAGACATCCTGCGGTTACCCCCTGGGCTCTAGGCGATGAAATCGAAGGTATCTCGGGAGAGAAAATCTTGCCCATAGGTAGATGCGAATCCATCCGACTCCGCGGATTCATGGAATATGAAATATCCAAGTTCCTGACGGGACCCCGAACATGAGATCCCATCACTCCGATTTATTCTCGAATGAATCGGGGCATTGCTGAACAATTTAGTGATCCAAGAATAGAGATTTCAGTCGAAATCGTCGTGGATTTCGGCATCACTTAGGGTTCCGACGGCGCGGCGTAAGAAAGCTCTGAGCTTAAAACTCGGATCTTGACTCGGGAAACTTCCCGATAAACGACCCAGCGAAGCGGTGATGGCATCAGTCGCGAAAATTGAATTTCAAGTACTTTCAAACCGCATTTTTTCCTCTTGTACCTTCAAAGTGCAGCAGAACACGATTACGCTGCTCATGGCTCCAAGTCCACCGAGTCAGGGCTTTCCTTGAAAGAGCAGGGCCAGGAGGCTTATTCGAAGACCAGAAATTCTTCCGTTGCTTCGTTTACGTAAAATAGTCCGGAAACGATTGTAAACTTTGGACAAAAAATTGATTCCAACCAGCAGTTTTTCGCTGGGTATTTCTGTTGCGCCCCCTCGTTGCAGTCGTCAGCATTTGATCGGCAGACCCAAAAGCAACCTGGAAGCCGATGCTGACGCCGATCGGTGCGATGGCGCTGCTGGTGATCGCGGTTTCTGATCACTGAAGTTACACTGGGGCTTGCCGGGAAAAACTTCTCGCTGACTGGACGCCTGATTGTGAAAATCACAATTCTGAACGCCACAGACGGCAACTGAGGGAGGCTCCCTCTCTTCTATGTCAGTTCCAACACTGGAATCCCCTGGAACGCCGAGGGCTTGATGGAATTCGGGAAAATTCTGAGGTGTCCTCACACAAAGATTCTCAAGCACGCTCTCAAGACATGACGAGACGAGGAGAAGAAATTAAATGGATCAGAGCGACACACGGGATGCTTAGGATATACCCTCGACCAATCATCCCAACCGCGCTTCCCACGCTTGATTGATGTCTTCTCCATCGTCCGCAGTCATTGAATAATGACTCACTAAACGATACTTGTCTCTCTCGTGTGTCAGGAGAAGAATTCCTCCCTGCGAGGGAACTTTCGATGAGCGACAATTTTCTCCGGATTCAAATCGGAAAACGGACGTGTGGCACTGTCCCAACCAGAATACAGGCTTGCCTCAAGGACGTTTTTACTTCGTCTGTTTAACCACTGACGGTGAATACTCGTCGACGGACGAACTTACGTTACCGCGTAAGCGGGTCGGCCCATCTCACGTCACAGCGTCAGAGACGGACGTTTTTTGGTTCGGAGCCAGTTAGTACAGTTGGGAGGCGAGTTGGTGAAGCTTGCTCGTTGGACTTCGTTGCCTCGTACCAGACCGTGTCCCAAGACGCGGATTAGCACGACAAGGAGGGTTCAGAGGATTCCAAGCGGTGACGGGGAGAAAAACCGACCGTCGCGTCGCTACTGGTGCAAACTCGCTCTGCCAAATTGTCGGCATGGTCTCAATCGAGAACAGGCAGACCGGAGATTCCAGAGGGTATTCGAACTCCACGAAACTTGTGCTTCTGAAAGCTACACGTACTTATAATACGTATCGAGCGGTGTCGACTGCGCACAGGATTCCCCAAGAACGTCCTCTGCTATGTCAGACCGAGCCTAACAAGCGAGCTGAAACACGGACACGGCTTTTCGATTTTGCTGTAGCCGGCGGGCAAGCACCTAGCGAGCCATATTTCACTCGATTTATCGGAGAAAGCCATCTCGGAGCGGAGAGTTTATTGGCCAATAAAGGCTACGTTCGTAGACACTGTTTGTCACCGGGCCGACTCGGGTCACGACACTTTGGCTTCTACAAATCGCGCGAGTACCAACCGTGCACCTGCTTCTAGCCCGGCTCACTCTGCTCTTTCGGCTCCCGTCGACTTGAGTCTTCACATGTCGCACAAGCGAGCATTCGGTAGTCATTCAATGGAGATGCGAACATCGGCTGTTACATCTCCCCGAGGATTTTTTCCAGCTCCACTCGATTATTCAGCATCTGAAGCGATAGATCCCGCTCCGCCTCTCTCCGTTTCATCAATTGTTGATCAGAAAGGAGAACGATTGCTGTTTGCTAGTCGGAGCTCGTTTGAGCTATAACACAGCGGTGCGACAAGGGAGAAAGCGATAACATTCTAGAGGCAACAGGTGGAAATCTAATCGACGACATCGGGGAGCAGGTGTCTCCTCGGGATCCAGTGTACCTGATCACAGATGACGAATTGATTTATGCTCATTCGATTTCGCGATCCAAGAGAAGCGCAAGAGCATCACGGCGTCAGAAAGCTTTCTATTATGAATCAAGCGAAGTACGACAGCCAGCGATCTCCCCCGGGAAACTTCCGATCCAGGGCTCTCCTCCGAAGGCGAAGGTTGATTGAGCGCAAGGGTTATTCCGCTTTGTTCTGATAAGGATCTCGATCACCGAGGTGGGAGAAGGGGCGATCTAATTAGTTAGCTGTAGTTTTTCCTCCTGACTTCTGGCATGGCTCAATTCCAATTTTTTCACGCGGCCGATATCATGTGTCCGGTTGCCCAGTTTCTCCTCTCCGGCTTCTAGTATAAATAGTCGAAATCGTAACGGCAAACTTATCACTGAAACAAGTGCTTTCATCATGAACTCTTTCGTGAGTAGCTGATTATGTCAGCTGGCGAATGCCCCCTGCTCAATGAAGCGTGGAAGTAAATTTTCATACGGAGCATAGAAAGTGAACATTTCTCCGAAACTCAATGTTACAGGCTCTCCTCGCTTTCGTCGGTCTCGTCGCTGCCGCCTCGGCCGGTCACCTCGGTCTTGGTCTTGGTCATGGACACGGAGTCTCTCACGTGGCTCACGTTGCTCACGTAGCCGCCCCCATCGTCGCCCCTGTCGTTGCTCCCGTCGCCGTCCACCACGGATACGCTCAGTCGCACGCCTACTCCTCTGCCGTTAACCACGGTTCTATTGTCGGAAAGGCCATTGCTCCCATCGGTGTCGCCTCCTACGGAATCGGACACGGATACGGACATGGTCTCGGACTCGGACTCCACGGAGGCTACGGATACGGACACAAACTCTGGTAATTCATCAGACTTTGAACTCCAAGGAATGAAGCACGGCTTAATAAAATCTGTATAATTGAAAACATGTCTCCGCATCCGTTGAACGGAATCGGTCCCACTCCGCTTCCGAACGGAATGACCTCTACGGGGTTGAGAAACGATTCCCGATATTGATCGAATTAGAGCCGCGGAACTCTTTGGTGCCGCCTCCTGATTCGCTTGAATTCATGCATTTTTTTAGATCGCGAGCTATATAGTCTGAAAGTCGGGTCGATATTCGATGCATGAGTTGCTTGATGCGATTCCGGGATATCGTGCGGGACGGCTTGAATGGAGCCGTTGCTTCACGAGTATCGATCCCCAGATCGACAGTTGTGTTCGGGTAAGGTACCTAGTTCCTATCGATTGCTCGTCAAATCGGGCAACTGCGCTGCGGAGGCTTCCGGCGACATCTCGACCGCTTCGGGAATTTTCAAATGAGGGGTGTGGTGTCACTCATAGTCAGTGTCCCCAGTAGGCACATGACAAGCGAGTGACAGGGTCCCATCAGATCGTATCTCGGAACACACCCAGAGCGAGCTACCAGAGTCGTGTCAGCTTGTCTGAGTTTCGGCGGGCGCCCCCAGAGCTGTTTTCGGAGTCACCGACTCGTGCTACGGAGGTTCGATACAGTCTGAGGCGTGATACAGAGAAATTCTCGTGCGTAACTATTCGCGTCCGGGCGTGATATTCTCCCTTCGCACCAAAGGATAGTCTGGTCAATGCGATGGATGCGATATTCCTGCGTGGAATCGCTGGGGACCAAGTGTGCGGTTTCACGAGACTAGGAGGGTTCGGAAAGTTTTCGGACATAGAACGTCTATCAGCGAATCTACTCTCTAACCGAATTGAGGCCCGAGCAGGTAGCCAGAATATATGTCTGCTATACTTATCGCGACGTCAAATATAATATGATTCTGAATTAATTCAATCGAGACCAAGACTTCTGGGGATAGAGCTCGGACGCTACCCATAGAAGCGCCCTTTATAAAGATGTGAATTATCATGATGATCATGAACATGAGCATATCTGATCAATCTTCTTATCACTTCTCGAGTCCGGGCTCCCTGGCTCCGTGTCTGATCGTCCCACTCATCTCATGTGAATCATCTAATGCTCCTGTCTCCCGTTGGGGTTCCTCCTCTGGGCAACAGAGTCACGGCTGAGAATTCATTTCTCGCGAACGGCGCGCATCCCCTGTCTTGCAACGTGGATATCCGAGATTGTGTTTGCGGGAAGAGTCGCTGCTACCTCATCGACGAAAATTCATCTTTTCATTGTACCCGCCGGATCGTCGTCCCGTAGATTCTCTTTTCTGTTCTCATTCCGCCCAATCGAAGTACGGCTTCCTCCTTGTCTGGGCAAATATCCGAGACAGAAAGCCAGGGCTGTTCTCCTTGCGGCCGCAGCTGTTTCACTCAGGAGCAGTGTAGTCCTTCCCTCCCACCTCTGTTCCATTGCATGCCATTAAGCAAGGTCCATTATCGGGGAAAGTGTCTGCGCTGTCCCTCTCGTTCCGCGCGAGCCCGCCGGACTGCCGCTTCTTGGAGCGTTGAATACACGTGGAAGGCAGACCACAGCGCTTGTTGTCGCTCCTGTTGCGCTCGGCCAGTCAGCGGCGTATTGGACGGTGCGACACCAGCGGACTCGATGGATCCCTCCCGAGAAATCGGTAATTCAGTGCGATCCTCAAAAACGCTGCGTATCAGGGATGTAATCATTAGGGGTAGGCGGAGGAATTCGGTGGGACTGCATGCTTCGATATTCATCCTCTGTATGACAAAAGAGTCTAACCGACAACAATGTTTCCCTCCGAATCGTGTAATACATCCCATCACGCGGAGTCTGTCGGGACTGCACACTCTCTGGCGAGCTGAATGAATGTAGTATCGATTTGACTCCTTCCATGAATAGCTCGATGGACATGCTTGTGGGCTCATATTCCAGAGCACGCACTATGAAGCTCGCGGAATGTTCTGAGCGGATGCATCTACTCCGTTCTCTACAGCTTCGAGATGCAATGAAGAATAGAGATGCAAAGACTCATCGAAGTGATTAGTTCTGATGATTGTGGACGACCAGCAGTCCAGCGAATTCGAGCCCTCGGCCTCGAGAGCCGCTGGCTCTTTCTCTTCAGAGAAATTATTGCTCTCATCGTGGGATTCGGAGACTTCGCCGTATATTTTAGCGCTCTGAATATGAAGAGCTCCCAAGTTATGTGTTCCATCCCGCCATGATTTCCCCTTAGTGTTGTGAAATGATGAGGTAGCCCACCGGTTTGCGGGCCGCTGATCCCTTACGCCCGGCGTTCTCTCGAAAGTCGCCGCCGTCAGTGACCAGCATCTTGGTCCCACGGCCGAGGCAATGGAGGGAACTGCACAGTGAGGTTTCCCCGGATCAACTAAAACCCGAGCAAGACATCGAGCCCCCCTTTCGGACGACATTGGAACTTGCGCCAGGACGCCGAAGCGGGAGGGGGAGGCGGGGAAGAACTTCCATTTATTGGGCTGGGATCCATGAAGTCCGTCGAAGCCCAGCGCGATTGCGCGTGAAGAGAAGGAAATGAATTATTCGGCGTTCGGCTGCCGTGAGCGAATCGAGGATCGAGCGGTTCGTTCGCTATGCAGCAAGAGAAGAGACGAATAATAATGGGCCCCCCGAATATAAAGCTCGACTTTCACTTCCTTCCTCTTTTCGGTTCCGTGATAAATATCCAGGTCCGGTCGAGCCCGCATACCCGATTGACCGAAGCTCGACCGTAGTTACAAGGGGTGGAATGATGTCACTCGATAGAACGGTTACCTTCATTCGGGATACGAGTTATGCAGAGGCCAGACCACTTGAGAATCGCGACTGAACGGGATCAAACATCGGCGTCGCTCGGTGTTTATCTGAGTCAGCATTCTCGCAACCGAATTTCGATAAGGGAGTCACGCGAGGACTCCGCAACGAGTTGGGTGGAGTTGTCGGGCAAGTCCAAAAGGGTACCTCGCTCGGGGGAGTTCCGAGGCCCGGAGTTCCAACGTACGAAGATGAATGGAAAGGAAGGCATGCGAGCTCCAGGAACTCTCTAATGAATTCGGAGCGAAGGACTGTCGACGAAAGATTCCAGCGAGTCGGGAGCGTGAAGAACAGGGTTCAACGAGGCTGATTCTGAGCCTCAAACCCGTGCTTGAACCGAGGGGGTCGTGGACGGCGACAGGTTTCCGGAGCAGGACCATTCGGCTGTTTTGCTACGTAGTCGAGAGTATGCAATGAAATTCGCCCGAGTCGACTTTCTGGCGATGGTCCCTTCTTCGCGAGTGAGATGCGGAGTTACGATCCAAGGCGGTCTGGTGTAACTCAGCTCGGTGAGTCAGACCGCGAATCCGCTCGATATTCTTCTTCGCCCGGGGATTCCTCATTCTCTTCGCTGATTCAGATGCATGAGAATGCGTGTTCTACTTCAGCGGACTTCCCAGGGAGTTCCGAGTGAAGATGGGTCACACCCGGATGAGAGGTTCTCTAGTAATTATCTTCGCGCTAGCACCTATTTCGAGGAGCTCTCACGAAAATGGGCTCAGGCTCCGGGCTGTTCTTGAGGAATTCAGAAATGTGCTCAGGCTCTACTTCTTGAAATTAGCCGACATTCGACGTCCCGATCCCGCTTTTCTCGCATCGGAGAATAGTAGGCACAGCGGCATATTCCCATCGGAACCGCTGAGCTCGATCGAGAATGAGGCTCCATGAAACAGCCTCCAGCCTCAACATGGATGAAGGCTTGACTGGAATCGACCGGCAGAAACGAGAACAGGCTGCACAGCGCAATCCGAGCTGAATCGGGTGGTCTCGGGGAAGCCAAACCCAGGTCGCAGGAACAAGCGGAGGGAGAATCCGTCGCGCAAGACGAGGCCTGTCGGAGCATCAACCGCTTCCGGCAACAAATAGTAAGTTCACAAAACGAAGGTTGGGGATCAGGGATGCTCATCGTGGCCTCGAGCGACGCACGCAAATGATCTCTGTCCTGACGTATCCTCGCTCCCTGCTCGCCTATCCTCCTTCTCGCTAGACAGATGCGATCTGCGTCTTTAATCTGCAATGTGTATCCGACTTCTGAGCGATTTCCAGCAATGCATTTATTTCATCGGCGTATTCTGAGGCGCTCAGCAACTTCGCCGTATTTCCGCCGGAAGTCGCGTGCGGTACACCGAGAGAATGACGATCGGAGCATGTCAGCCGAAGGATTCAAAGCCTCAGGATCCTCGATCCTGGCAAGGTACCATCGGTGTAACCCAGAGAGATGATATCTGCGTTACCGTAATTAATTTTAGAAGAGAGACGCCGCTGGTCGATGCGGAAATACGCCGACAGGTACGTCCGTGTGGCCGACATCATCGTATTCCACATCACGATCGACATTTCCCCGGTAATGAATTCAGGAGCGATTTTGAACAGGACCCGAGTCGTCACGTCGATTGGTCGCGCCGGTTTTAATGAGTGTGCTCAAGATTTTCGAATTGGAGCTTTCTTGAACCTGAGCCTCTTTCCCCCGTGTCACCGTTGGTCGGACCTGGGTTCCGTGATGCCGTGTCTCTTTTGATTAGCAAGCGAAAACACGGAGCTCACACTCAATGATGAATGTTGAGCCTGGAGCAATTAAGCAGGTAGATCCGTACTCATTGCTAGCTGCGTGAGAAATGTCCGATTGACCGCAGGGTCAACGACCTCTGATAGGCGGTTCGGAGAATACGAATTACGAGTTCCTGGAATTCGGGGCTCCATTGCCCTCGAAAATGAGTTCTGGAAACCTGCTGAGACATTCAACGTACTCCCGAATGTGGCACTCGGGGCGAATCCCGGATCCAACAGCTGTAGACAGAGCGGGAATTTCTCAAAAACTTAGAGAAACTGTACCTCGGATACATTTCTCTGTTCGTCGAATTAATGAGAAACCGCCTGTGAGCATTCAATGAAACGGTATGCTGAGCGGGATCCCATACGAGGGCTGGGAACCACACCACGGTGTACGGTTCTTCGCAGCGCTCGACGTTGCAGCAGACGTAGCGGCCCGTACAAACGCAGTCGTCCCTACCCGCAAAGGAGAACGCTTTCCACTATGAGCGTCCTCGGCTCACCTGGATTCGAGAGTAGAGCAATCCTGCACCTTGTTCGCACTGAAAATCACTCACTAACTAATCTCTGGAATCCGCACTCGGACTAAAACTCACAGTCACCCGTCTTCGCTTCACAATCACTTCTGATGCACGCAGTACATGGTGCTTGCGACACACGTACCGTGCTGGGTAAACTCGCGTGCTAACCCTCCTCCGTCGTGGGGAGGACTGCACGATTCGAACGCCCCCTGGACCGCAATGTCAAAAGCTCCTACAAAACATTACGACACTCTACCCTGCCCCGGCCGGGATTCGGGCCCAACGTTGCTCATTCCACCGTCGGCCGCGGGTGAGGAGGAAGGAAAAGAAGAAAGAAAACGGTCTGAGTCTATGCAGACTTATTCTCCTCTGAGCGATCGGATGATCGAGGCAGAAGGGAGTTCTCGCGGGCAATCGGGCCTGGTTATCGAATTCCCCGAGCCGGGCTAATTTTTCGATTCGGCATATGGACGATATGGATGATCCATAAATCCATTTCTGTGATATAATCGAGAGGGGTCGACTTTCCGCTGACGTCGCTGCTCCGTAAGCGGCAGCGAGCTCCTCTCCAGAACACAAGAAAGTACTTCTCAAGGTTTCCCTTTTACACCTCTCCAGGCACATGTCGGAGTGGATTCCTCAAGGCTAGACCGACCGAACTGTTTCGTCCCTGTGAATGTCGCTCCGAGTATTCACCGATTCACCGCTCCCAATGAAATCGTAATGCAGCTATGAGCGATTCTCGGGGTGCAGCTCCCGCATACATCGGGAGCAACCCACATGAATTACTTTTCCGGATCGGGGTCGTGCCTCCGACGAAAATAAAGGAGGAAGAAGTGTAAAGTTGCTTTCCGTTCATCGCAAAATCATCAGAAGAACGAGGAATTGAATGATTGTCCACCCGAGGGAATCTAAACGAGGAGAGAACTCTTCCGGGGAATCAATTTTCCAAGCTCCCTGCACCCATGTGTTGTATGAAGACAAATCTGATCCGACGCGTGACAAGTTCTGTATCCATCGACATTGAGGCCGTTGAGGAACAGTCGTTCCCTCAGAAAGCATCACATTATCCACACTTGCAAGTTTGATGAAAAAATCGCGATTGGGACCAAATGCGTCATTTTCCGCCTCTGGAGTGACCACGGACCGCCGTTCACGGAAGCCGCTATCGTTTCCGAGGCTTGCTGCTAACCCGGCGCGATGAGCCCATGGGGGGCTCGAATCCGAAAGGAATCCGAACTTTCCGGTCCTCGAAACAATTTTCGATAAGCTCCCGATCCACAGTCCCTCGCTGAAGGGGATCGGTCAACCGTGGAAATGCATCTAGTTTTCTCGGTGCTTTTTCGAACAGCCAGTTAGTTGGGAACGTAGCGTACGCCATCTGCGGAGAGCTGTGCTCGGCGACGGTTTGGCCACAGAATTTTTTTTTCTGTCATAGTGATACTGGTTAGCCAACTGGCTCGAGCTCAAGCAATCTCATCTGAACGAGGAGCCGAGGGAGAGTATCCGGTATAAATTCAGACCACTCCCGGATCGAAGTAGGAACATTCAATCAACTTCGATAAGCTCAACATGCAGTCCGTGAGTTCATCCGTAGCAACAGAAGCGAAACTTATTCCTCACACCTTCGAGAGCAACGGGATTTTTCAGCGGTGAGCGGGCTTTTCCAAAAAGCGTCTTTTGATGTACTTTCACAGTTGGTTGTTTTCGCCGCTATCGTCGCTGCCGCTTCGGCTTCCCACATCGGCCTCGGTCTGGGCGGATACGGCCTAGGTCACGGCGTCCTCGCCGGACCCATCGTAACCAAGTCCACTGTTCTCTCTGGAAACATCCAGGCCGCTCCCCTCGCTGTCCCTCTGGTATCTAAGGTCGCTATCGGCGTTCCCACCATCTCCGCCGCTCCTCTCGGACACGGTATCGGTCTTGGCCACGGTATCGGTCTTGGCCACGGTATCGGTCTTGGCCACGGTATCGGTCTCGGACACGGAATCGGTCTCGGGCACGGGCTCGGTCTCGGACACGGTATCGGTGTCGGACACGGGCTCGGTCTTGGAAAGGTCTGGTAGAGTCAGTTTCTTCATGTAAATAAATGCTGTGTTCAGTTTCATTTGGATCTTGCCGTCTGTAATCTCCGCATGATAATCATTGATTTCGCGACTCTCTGAATCCCGACACTCGAGTAGAATTTCATCACTCGAACTCGCCGTGTGCTGCGAATCCCACGCGCATGTCTCTCCACGATGAGAGCCTCTCAACCGTCCTGACACGGAACATGGCACGAGAAATGAACGTGGAGCAATCCCATCCTGGGATCGGGTCTGTCACCAGTATATATTCCGCCGCTATTGTGAGGCCCTCGCATTCACGTATGGATTCTTCCCCTTGCCTTATCCTTACGAAGGGTTAGTATCCGATCAGCGGAAGTGAGCAATCAGGCTCCCAGACATCCATTAATCTTTCTGTATGGGCTAGCGTGTTTGCTTGCAGAGACGTTATATACCGAATCAGCGTACGCGAGGGATCCTAGCCTGAAGATTATTGATTTGCGGCTCCTCATAATGAAGAGACCGGAAAAAATTGTCGGAAATTCAGGGGTGAGCTACGGGTTCTGAGATCGTCGGTCGATCGCGATGGAAGAGCCCGTCGGCGTCGTTGCTCGGATGCTCGTCGAAATTGGACTCCGGTGAGCGGCTTTCATACGAGGAGCTTCCACAGAATCTGCATGTTCATCACTCTGACACATGAGCTCGATACATATACAGAAACATCGAGATGCATGAAGTTCGACCGCTCTGCACCATCGTAGGAGAATGAGGTTGGGGAAGCTGCCCACAAGCAGCGAGCGTCGAGAGCTCGACGCCGACCGATCGCACTCAGCACTAGAGCGCAGCGTAGATCTGGGCAAGCGGTCACGCGTTCTGTGGTGATCCTTGATCTTCTGCCATCGACCCGAAGCTGCGAACTGCACACTGCGGCTCGAGTAATTCCAGTCGCCGTTGCGGTGTACTCACTCTTGTTGCCGTAGCTCCGACACTCAGCTTATGAACTCAATCCTTATCATCGGATGACACATGCTCATCGTTTCCTGGCGGATCTCGCTCATGGGAATTTCGGCGCCTGGGTGCCCTCGCAGAGCGCGAATCTTCCCCAATCGAGATCACAGATAATGATTCATGTAAGCTTCGAGATTCGGCAGGTCGTATTCCCTGATCATAATGATCTGAGCGGGGTAGTAACGGAGCGCCTCCGCCCTCCCCTGATGGTTCCGATTTTTTTTCTGCGTCGCAGGGAATGCGAGGAACTCGACGGCGGATGGAAGCGCCAGCTTTACGGGGAGACATCTACTCTCCTCTTCCGGTATCCAATTCACGGAAAACTGTCAAGCCGTATACCGTTCGTCAATGAGATCCGAAACAGAAGGAATGTCTCAATTATCGAACGATTCCGCAGCGGTGATAATTCTTTGATGTACAGGAGAATTCTGAGTGCCAGAAATATTTCGCCTATTGATAAAGGAACCGCTTGCCAACGCTGGTCATTATTGACCTTGAGCCAAGAACTCGTCAGAGCAGACAAGCCCAAGAAGTGGGACAGCATTCGGAAATCACCTGATTTTTTGACGTGAAACGTCTTTAATCTCGTCTTGGGGGGCGCGTTCAATGTACTTCGTCCTTCATGTAACGATTTAACGCCGCTTTTGGAAGGCTAGAACCTGCTTAGATGAGCACAGAATTTGTTCACGATAGTGTTGATCGATAGACAATTTACGGGTGAATCTCGTATTCGAATATGAATTGGAACTGAGATTGTCCAAGGTGTCTACCATTCGAATTTCCGAGGTACTAAAAAACAGCGCGTTTACTCTATAAATATGCCTCTAGCGTCCTTCAACGTTCATTTTCGACAGTGATTCGACGAACAAAATAAAGTTCGGTTCATGACCCTTCCGTTCCACTAGCTGGTCAGTACCTAAGGGTTCGAAAAAGGTTTTATTTCGGAAGAAAAGATATGGGAGACAGCCGGATGGTCATGTATACGCACATCGTTTTTTAAATAACCATCTCCCGTGTGATTGTTCTCCCTTCGAGTTCAATCCCACGAAACTTCGAAGGAAACCTACATGTTTTCAACAACGCAGTACTCGTTGACGGCTATTAATTTATGCTGCGATCACCCGATCATCAACCATCTCAATGTGTAAAATCAACATCTCTTTACACTGGGTAAAGGGGGCGGACAAATTCAAGGGCGCATCAAATCGAAGACACCGATAAAAGTCTGGACCAAAGGGACAGACACCGGAAAACTCTTCAATTTCGTCCTGAGCGACATGAGCGGAGACATCAATGTGATTTCATCAGGGAATGCCGCAGAGGAAATCTATGAAAAGATCACAGTGGGTAGCTGCATCAAAATCACCGCGTTCATAGTAAAAGCAGCAATTTAAAATGACTGACCACGCATGCGAGCTCCAAATGACAAAGGTACAATGACCCATGAGTGAGAAATAACGCACATATATCCATCATACGAATCATGATTGAAAATGCGAACTCATCTTCCAGTTGAGCAAAATCGTTCCGATCGCAGGAGACGATTTACCGGAGATCCAATCCCTAACTACAATCCTGAGCGATCTTGCCACTAAGCCGGCGAATTCGGTGATTGATATCCGAGTCGTGATCTTTGACGTGAGGCCCCCGCAATCGTTCACCTGTCACGATGGAACGAGTCGGCAAAAACAAATTATAACAGTGTTAGATAAGAGCATGAGGATGATCAATGTCGGTGTTTGGTCGGACTTCGTGGGGAAATTCGATGACAAAGAAGGACAGGCCGTTATCAACCGAAATCTGCAGATTCGCGACTATAAAGGAGTGCGACAACTCTCGTCAACATCAAACACAATGCTTGCCGCAATAACCGACACGGAGACAAGAGAACTTCAAACTTGGTTCGAAACCACGGGCTGCGAGGAAGAGTTTGAGGAGGTGAACCTCACCGGAATAATTGAATAGGAGATTTGATAAACATCTATCACCAACAATATTCGATAATATTTGTAAAATGATTGTGTTGAAGTAGAATAGGAATAGAATAGGACATAGAGAATTGAGGGTTTTGTTTTCAGTTGAAGGCGTTTCACGTCCACTGACGGTAGTGTCATGACACTACCTACGTGAAATTTTTTTTCCTAGACAATCGGAACTACCCCGTTTCTTCTGGATCGGTAAGACGAGATTCCCAACCTACATGAGATCCCTGACGACACAAACCAGGAGGCAATTCTGTTCACATTGATAAAGCGGGGCGAATCTCTTACCGAGATTTCTCTGACGACGCATTGCAGTCCTGCCCCGTCTCAACCCACCGCTTTTGTTGTATCGTTGAAGCGGCGGAACGCGCTGCCTCTGGCACCATTTCGTTTGTCGCCGATGCTCGTCACCGTCATATTCGTTCTGTTCGGGAGAAACCATTGGGCTGCGCGTCCGACGGAGCCTACCTCCTCTATGTCTTCGCCTTTTAATCTGCGTAAGAAGCTCTGGAGAAGAAGTTATCGGACGCGACTGTGGCGATTAGGGCCATTCAACCTCTGATGCTGATCCGGGAATCTCTGGAGAGGTATTCCGATCCTCACATTAAACGGAGCTCGATTACCTCCTCGAAGTCGTCGACGACGATGGCGATCTCCACGAATGGCGTCCTCGCTCAAAAGCCTTCGATGGAATATTATCAGTGCTGAGAGGCTCCAGAATCGCGAACCACGACCGAAGAAAGCAAGGGACCGCCTTGTGGACCCTTCGCGGTCGGATTTGGTTCCAAAGGGTGGATAAGGTCGACATTCTCATGTGTTAAGTGGGCTGAAGCAGCTGGTGAGAATTGATGGCAGGTAGGCTCCCTTCCTTCACGCGATCAATCAACTCGGGATTCCGAGCAGCCCAGAGGGAGCTTCCTTGCGGATTCCGAAATTCCCTGCCTCCATGCGCCTCATCAGGGGGACTCGCCGACCTACGCTTTCAGTACTCTCACAATCCGATCATTGAGCTCTACGCTATCAAAACATTAAGGAACGAAGGCTACGAGCAAGCTACAGAATCCGAATCCGATCTCGATCATTCGAAGGTAGAACAGTCGAGCTCACGTCCCTTGGCAGATTCCGAACCGAAAACCGTGAACGAAGAGCATGGCCGACTGATGGGCTTCCCATCGCCGCCTTCCGTGAGGGTATATTTCCATTTATCGCGCGGACAGACCGCGTTTCCTCGGTCGTACCCGCGAAGTAGTCCGACCAGCCAGCCGAGTGTAGGCCCATTGATATGTTTTTCGGGCCAGAACGAGCAGCTTGTGTTTCAGTTGTGGGAGAAACGATTCTCATCGAATTATCGGGTCTTTATTTCCTGATCGATTACGATATCACCCGCATCGTTGATCGATACAGCTGTCCAAGCTCGTGGGGCGGGAAGGAGTAAATCTAAGATTCAATCAATCACGAATAAGAGTTTGTCGTAATTATCAATAGCTTCGGACTGATCTTTTCGGAACTACGGCGAATATTCTCCCTTGTTCGCTAGAACTCCAATCGCACTCGATAGCATTTGGTATATTCGGCGGCCGAGGGAGTCTGCTTTATCAACGAAATGAATGACTTCAGTGAAGATCACGAGATTGAGTGCGTTCATGGATGGAACTGATAGATATCTCGATTCGGAAGCATGCGTCTTGTTGGAACGAGTTCTGAGCCCAGTTCTCTGCCGATGGAAGACGCTTATCGACCGGTAGAAAAGACCTCTCTCGCGAACCAATGCTGAAAGCCTCCCATTCATATGAGTAACTGTGTGCATCTATAAGGCGACGGAGCATTTGAGATTAGATCCAAATCAACAAGGATTCGAGCGATGCGTGGACCCGTTGAAGGCTTCCGACTACATGAACCACCGCGAAGGGGGAATGACGCTGAAAATGATCTCTCATTCGGTAGCGGTGGGAATATCTTCCGCATTCGCGTGGCGTGACTCCTGCTCACTCCGGGGCCCTAAATGGCCTGAGCAGCTGTTAAAATGCGCATTCAGTCCCACTTTCACTATATCTGGGGATCTATCGCTGATTCAAATGCAATTGCTTATCGGCCCGACGCGCTTCGTCTCGTTTATTGATTCGGAGCACGTATGTAGTTCTGGGTGAGGGTTTTTTCTCTGGGTGCATTGAGCTGATTCGCCAGAATATGAAGTGGTATTAGTTCCACGGAGATCTAGCCGGCACGCGAAGCTCGCAAGCGAGAAAGTTTCACCTTATCCGAAATTCCGCAATCCAACATCTCGTCATCCTCACCTCTCTCTGAGCGAGCCATGTTCGGACGCTTGATCGTGGCTCTAGGGTTGACGTTAGATGGGGTGCTTCTCGCGAGCGCAATCGAGAAGGCTCCGTTGTGCTTGACGTTCGACGATGGCGGGAAGTAAGTTCACGGTCCGAAACAATCGCAAGTGTTCATGAATAAATACACCGCTTCCGAGAACTCCACGGACAAATTTCAAACTACCAAGCGAATGATTGACGACGATCCCTCTCAAGCTTCTGCTCGGCTTCCGAAATGGCTTATGGGAAATTTCTGTCGAGCGCATTGAAAGCGGTTCTGCAGATTCCGGTCGAAAGCCAGTCAAGTTTCGATCCACAACCCTTCAAGTGAGTTCAAAGCGGGATCCTAACGCGAACTGAACGGAACTCCCTCCCGGCATATGCTCGGGAATATTGATAGACGTAGCTTTGCCGTTCTTACAGTGAGACGATCCTACTCCCCCCCGATGTCCCTATCACGACAGATGAGCTCGACAAAAAAGCAGTGAAAGTTTTCGAATTCCTAAACGCGCCGGAATCCATTGTGAAGATCGGAAATGATCTGTATACCTCAGCGATGGATGGAATCTACAAGGTCGATTGCCTCAGGAAACATGCTTCCTATTGCACGCACCTGCCTTACCATTCTGCTTTCCTCGCTTGGCTCAGAGTCTGTGCGGTGAGAATATCAATGATGATTAAACCTTAAAATCTACAATGATGTCATTTCCGTCTACCGTAGGTTGACACCGTGACCGGAAAAGAACGGAAAATCTATGACGGGAACGCCGATTGTAAGGAATTCTGTAGTCGACCCCTTGGTATACGGATCCACAAGCGAACGATGTACTGCGCTGACCTGCTGAAAGGCCTCATCGAGATCGACCTCGAAACCGGTAGGGCATGCCATTGAGTCCTATATCAGACGAATCAGCAAGCGTCAAGGAGTATCTCACCTGAAATCGAATTCTAGGCGAATTTTCATTTGATTCTAGATCAGAACACTAACTCTTCTCTGCAGAGAAAGCGAAGGTGCTCTTGCCCTTGGGTTCATCGGTCGGCGGTCTGGAGTTGTTTTTCCCGAACGACGTCGCTGTGGATCCAGAAAGGCAGCTGATCTATCTATCCGACTCCGACACGAAGCGGAAATGGGACTATTACATGTTCTCCTTGTTGGACTTCCAAAACAATTCTCGGTAGGCATTCAATGAGAATAAGAGTGAAAAGTTTTCTCTACCTGAACGAGCGCCCCTGACTAAAAGTACTCTCCTCCACAGTATTATTCAATTTAATCTCACATCTGGAGAAGCAACGATATTTGCGGACGGACTTCACTTTGCCAACGGGATACAAATCTCGAATGACAAGAAATCCCTTCTGGTGAGCGAGTTCACATCGAGGAGAGTGATGCGATTCCCGTTTGGCGGGTCCCTACCAGGTAATGTGTGTGCTGGGGAACCCTCTCGAGCCGTCTCCTGCTCAGAGCCTAAACTTTCCTCAAACTATACCCATCATGCGACGTGTTTAGGATCCTATCTCCTAAGACGGTATCCCCATAGCGACGGGATCGTTGTTCAGTGCTTACCTTCCTGGTAACCCGGATAATATACGACCTTCTAAGAAAGGAGGATATTGGGTCGCTCTGGTCGGCAGTCGAGCAGATGGAACAAGGACGTTGGTTGAAGAACTACAAGCAAGGCCAGCAGTCACGAAACGGATCCTGAACTGGCTCGTTACCGCGGGCACATTTCTAGAGTCCGTGGGGGTTCTCTCTGGAAACAAAGCATTACAGCCCACTGCGAACGAGGTGGGTCATTCGGCATCGGCACGTTTACGGATCCTCGCCGGCGGCGCGCGGCGTCCCGATTTCACACCCTTGCTGTATCCTTTGTTGACTCTATTTTCTTACAGCTGAAGAATGGGAACATTCTTGGGAGCTCAATTCCCGCATCTGGCGCTATCGCGGAACTGGACGCTGAGGGGAAGGTCCTACGAGTTCTTCACTCGACGAAGTTCGGTGATCTTTCCGAGATCCTCGACGACGATGGCGATCTCTATATTGGAACTTATCTTCATCAAGGCCTCCTCAAGCTACCAGCGACCGCCGCTCACAACTGAGGTCCGCGGAAAAATCATAGGATATTCCAGCATTACTGAGGGAGTTCGAAGAGATGCGCGATAGAGCTCCCCTGAATAAACAAGACCTCTCATCGTCCAAACCCTTTCTTATCAACAACCATGCATCGTCTTCGCTTCTATTCATCTATCGGATCCTGCCTCGGGGTTCCGGCAAGAATAGATCTCTGGGACAGTGTCGCATCGCGAAGTCAGACTCCGTCGGACCGTCAAGGATCCCTGTCCCACCCTGCGAGCATGGCGAGCTCCGCTGAGCTCGAATCCGTACAAACACGAAGAGGCAAGATGTTCTTTGTCTGACAGATGGGAAGCCGGGTGATGACGATAAATTTTTCGGGATGGATACCGTGGGTCTATCCTCTGAACGAGCTCGAGTCGTAGCGGCGATCTTATACCACAAAGCGAGCAGTGAAATCTCTGGAAGTTCTACGAAGATGTCCCATACATATCCGGCACTTCCTGTCTGGCGGCCCGACGAATCACAACGGCCCCACCGCGGAGTAGCCCAGATATTTCCGTCGTAGTCGACAGGAGGGATCGGATATCGTCGTTGATGAATTTTGCAATCGAATCTAGTCGAGAGTCGTTACTCCTCCCTAACGAGATGCTGATCAATTGGCATGCGCCTGGAAGGGATGGGCGCTTCTAATTCCATGAATTCGATAGTTTATGATATTATGATGACCATTACATAGAGATCGCATGTCCGGAGAGGTGATTGTCTTCCAGCGCCATCTTGGGAACACTACTTATATTGCATTACTCTACCAATTGTGACCGGTCACTATAATAATAGTAAAGAGGATGGGATACGTATAAGCATTTCGGAGTACGCGGTTCGACTGCTAGAATACTGCTGTGTGAATGCAGTGCGCCTGATGGCCCGGGCACATATTACGCTTAGAATCAGGATGTTTTAAGCATTCCCGTGTGGACTGATGCATGCATCGCTCATTTTTAAAACTGGAATGTCTATAGAGCGAGAATTCTTTATCCAGCAGCGAGGAAACTTTCGTCGATCACCTCGTGATTGTGAGACTTGTAAGACGACTCCGATGCTCATCAGGGCTTGAAGATAACAAGAGCGGCCGCTGTGAGCGATGCATTTCCGCTGCTTCCAGAGACTCTTCCAGAATCCCATACATCTCTCAGAGCCCGGTGATCTCGTGCAGCCTCAGGATGTGCCTGAAACTCTTGATTGTCTCAATCGCCTTGAGGGGCGTGATATCCATTGGTCGGGGAACTCCGACTTGCCCGAACACGGATGACGGGACTGGGTACGTTCGATATGCAGCATTGAAGTGAAATCGGATGCATGGATGGAGTCGAGGCCATCCAGGAGACCCAGAGGGTTCGGTCACTCTCCAGACGGAGGCGGTGAAGAAATACCGAGGCCTGTGCATGTCCGATATCCTCGGCTGAAGCCATGGTTCAGCCGACTTTTTGGCTGGTCTTCCCGATCGACAAGACTCAGATAACGATAATGAAGAGCAGGCCGGCAATTCGCATTTCTACACTCCTCCTGAAAACGATCACCTCGAGATAATATCTTGAACTCTCCCTCCGTTTTCCGATCCAAGGCTATGTTCCTTCATCGAAGCATCAAACGGCGCGGCGATCCCGGAACTCCTACAATCGATGATGTCAATGCGCGTTGATCGTAAAGGTCTGAAGCAGTTCATTCCCAACAGACTTGAGTAAGTCTCGTTTCCCATACTCAGATTTGTTTTTGCTCGGTCCGAGACCCAGAATAAAGCATATATAACGGCTCCAATCGACGGGACGACCTTTTCCTCGAGATCGAGAATTGTTTCAATTTAAACCCGGACGATTTCGAATTTCGAAGGTATCCGAAAGTTGAACCTGGAGGTCCTATAGGCTCGAACGAGAAGCTTGATGAAAATTCAGAACGTCTCTTCAATTTCCTCTCGGGGCCCGAGTCGATTTCGATTGTAGATAATTTCCTCTACGCGGCGGCTCGCGACGCTATCTACAAGGTAAGGACGTCTGAACTGTGAGGGAATTATGGCGGCATTGACGGGGCCCATATTATAAGAGTAGCTATCCCTATCCTCGGTGTCCCCGCGTTTGAGAAGAAGGAGACTCGAAATGAGACTCCTCCGGATCCCGTGATGTTGTCGTATAAGCGGTTTCGGCTGTAATTTGGCGTCTATGTATGTATGGGACGGGAACATCCGTCCCTTTGCATCCGCGAAAACGGCTCGTCACACGGAGCGGGGATTTTGAATAATTGATAACGTATTCGCTTTTCCGCGAGTTTTCAGGTCGACCTCAGGAGCGGTAATCATACGGTTATATTCAACGGGAACGAGAACTGCGCGGTGGACGGGGCTTGCAGTCGCCCGCTGGGCTTGCGAATAAGGGGGAATCAACTCCTGGTCGCGGATGCTCTTAAGGGGCTGATAGAAATCAACTTGACCACCGGTATTTGTTGCGAGGATCCGGACCCAGAGCTCCTCTCAGAATGATTGCTGAAACCTGACGAAAGAAATACCTACCCGGATCTCGAACACTCCACAGAGTCGATGGAGCGCCTCGGGCAAGATCAACGAGAGGAGCCTGAAATATCTAAAACCTATACTTACAGGTGAATCTAGAGTCCATCTCGCCGTAGGGTCTCCGATTGAGGGTGAGCCGCTCCTGTTTCCCGATGATATCGACGTCGACTGGGAGAAACAAATCGTCTACATGAGCGACGGTAGCACCAAATGGCCTCTGGAATACTGGGCTATGATCGTACTGGAGATGGAACCTTCCTCGAGGTGCGAAGCTCAACAGGAGATTCTGGCACACGGCACATTCCTTGCTACTATCAGAGACATTAGTTGTCTCTATCGTCGACGTCGCCTGATCCGATCATTAGGATATTCCGATCCAGTCGTTCGCAAACGACTCCCGCATTCCTCCTTTCCGGATTTCTGATCCATTCTCCGAATTAAAAGATAATCTTCCTCAATAGGATAATTCGTTATGACATGAAGAGCGGCAAGGCGGACGTCTTCGCCAAAAACATCCGCTTCGCAAACGGTGTCCAAATCTCTCACGATAAGAAGTTCCTGCTAGTCAACGAGCTTTCAGCCAGACGGATTCTCAAATATCCTCTCGACAGTGCCGTTCCTGGTGGGTACCGAGTAACGTACATCCCCCGATTTCGCTTTGGAAACCAATTTCCTCCTCGGGAGGAATTTTCGGACTGATATGAAGGCTTGTTGAATTGATGTACCACGACAGCTTCCGGGGAGCCCTTCACGAAGCTCCTACCCGGAAACCCCGACAACATACGACCTTCACTCAGTGGGGGATACTGGGTCGCAATGGCGATGGGTCGACCGAACGGCAGCCGAAACCTGTTGGACGAGCTCCAAACTCGACCCGACCTGTCCGAGAAACTCGGCAACTCAGCTCTGAGCGTCGGTGGATTGGTACGCAGTATCGGAGTCTTGTTGAACAACACCCCGCTTCGCGATTTGGGACATAAGGTGAAAGGATTTTCCAATTTTCCACCACCCTCTCGGATTTCGGCAGGTTGCGTATGTGATGCCGGACTTCCGTCACTGATCCGACTTCACTTATTCGTTCTCGCAGGTGGCGACTGGTGGGATAATCATGGAAGCGATTCCTGGGCACGGATGCATCGTCGAATTGGATGTGGATGGGAATATCGTACAAACACTCCAATCTTCACGGACGTTCTTCCTCACGGAAGTTTGTGAGCGTGAAGACGGTCTTTATTGTGGCAGTTACCAAAACTCGTTCCTTCTGAAGGTCCCAAGATCCACGTTTAGGAATCCTTGAGGTGCACTCCGATCAGCAGGAGTAGAGCACTGATTCAGGATACGAGATTCTCCCAATGGGATTTTCTCCGATCTTCTTGAACTCAGTTTCGAATAAATGAATGTCCCAGAGGTTGAGTCGCTGCTGATTCTCTTCGCTACCCTGGCCAATCATGTGCCAATCATCCGAAATTACAATGGGTCAGGCACCCAGTGAGGGCGAAACCCATGGATAGCGGGCAGAATGCAGTAGGTAGGACCGAAATAAGATTCTTCTCGCTCTGATCTGAGGACTTCGATAAGTCGATTGGGCGAACAAGATTGAGAAAGGCACATCGCCTCCTCGCGTCCTCGTCTATTTGTGGGATCACATTTCCTAAATCATATAAGATCATGCCGCGTCGGCGCGGCGGGAGGATGTCCCCGGCTACTTCTAGAATCTTCGCGACTCAGAAACACAGCTAGAGACCAAATACTCGAGATTTCGCTCCTGCGGAGTCATCTGCGTACTAGGACTCCCACACATGTGAAGAATTCCGCCCTGAGGAATCGAGGGTCCTCCATGTAAGACCCATTTAATCATTCGCACGAGCATGTATACACTTCGGGTCTATTTGATAGTCATTCTTCTCATACGGCATCATGCTGTACCTCTCATCAAGAAGAGTCCAGAGTTCTCTCCCATTCTATTATACCTTGGATGAATTTGTATTCAAGAACATCTTCCATACTGAAGAAAGACTCACGAACTTGTGGCGTGGCGATGTTGTGCAATGTCTTGAGGAATGATTCGGATCTACTGTTGGCTAATTCGAATAGTTTCGCTGTCCACAAATTCTCGACTGCATGTCGGCCGAACAATTTCGTCCCCGTTTTCATATCGTCGTGGATGCCAAAGCAGAGAGTCACATACCCCACATTATGATTAGGAGGGACTTTGATCGGGACCGTGAACAGCACGACACGATCCGGAACGACGACTTTCCCACTCTGAAGTTGGCAGCCCCACAGAATGACATCATCCCCCACGCTGAGCTCACTGCAGTCGCCGAAATCACAGCATTCGATTACGCAACGACCCCTGAACACCACCCCTTGAGCGGATAGGCGAGAGAGTATGTTTATGTTCGGACTCTGGTCAATTGAGATTTGTTTCTTGAAGAGGACATTGCTGCACAGATTATCTAAATACTCTGTCAGAGTGCCGATATGATAAAAGTTGGATCGAGCCAAGACAATCGCTCTTATAGGGAACTTTTGGAGTTCTCTCTGTAAGCTATCCGTTGACTTCGGAGCTCCACTCCCAAGGCAGGTCAGGAAATCCCCGTAGGCACAAATTTCCCTGTTCAATGGCCGGTTAGACTCGTAATATTCGATGAGGCATCTCATGACGTCAGCACCAAAAACATAGGCGCTGTCGGTGAAGGCGGAATCCCCGTCGACGATTGCGTTCGCAGCTCGCATCTCATCCAGCGACGGTTTCTGAAGCACCCTCAAACAAGATGCGATGGTACATGCTGCATAGATTGATTCCGGAAGGATGTACACTCCATGATCCTTGGCGATGGAAAGATTCGATGGATGTGCCAATACCGTGAAGCCGGATTTCTCGATAGCATGAGGTCCGTCTGGAGGGGAAAACACGTCCTAAACTATATATTCACGCTCGAAAAGGACTGACGCACTGTAATTTCCCAGGTCCGCCTACCAACCTATCGGCAGGGTGCAAGAATCTAGATACGAATAAATCAAAAGTCTCACCTACTGCGAATGTTTCTATGTCATCAGATGCTGTGAGGAAAACACCCGAGGACATCTTCCTACAGAAAGGTAGATACATCGCTAATTTGATGTCCAACATCCGTCCGCAGGGAAGTCGAGCGAACAACTTCCCTACAGCCGAGTGTTGAGGCAGGCGCCGGCATTGTCCTCCGGTGTGAATGAGCAATATTTTCTTGCTGAACAAATCCTCGTTCCATAGGCTTTTGAGCATAGTCAGAATGTTCATGGTGGCTCCCCCTGATCCTGTGGGCAAGAGAAACTAATAATCAGAAACTCTGAAAAATCAGAATCCTCTGGAGTTCCGGGTCCCTGGACGATTCTCGCACCACGAGCGCCGTTATTCGCCCTCACCCATTTTATAGGATGCATCGTCTTCGAGGGCGATGTAGTCAACTAAAGGGATGGCCTTATCCGCTTTCAGCTGCTGTATCCGGGTCTCGATCGCTTCACGTTGGGCTGCATCTCCTACTGAGAAGACTACGGCATCCCAGAAGAGTCCCGAACACTCTGCGGCGGTGAGACCTGTTGGGGAGAAGACACGAATACTCTTCAGCAATAGCTACCAAGTATCGAAATCCAAGGGGACTAATTCGAAGCCGATGAACTTCCGTCAGTGGATACGTCGGGTCTGGAGGGAGCTTCTCAATCGAGGAATTAATCTAAAAACCTTTCAATGCACTGTACTGCTCAAAAATGAGGGTCATCTCATCGGTGCAATCGAAACCTTCGTGGACACTCATAGCTGATCCTTTAGGTGCAACCTGCAGAGGCGGAAGCGTTTTCCTGAGGAATTTTATAAGAAATTCTCCAATGCGGGACGTGTACGAACAATAAGAAACTCTCGGAAACCAACCCCGGTTCGCTGCCACAACGCTCAACTTACCCAACGATCGCGACCAACAGAGGGGCGTGACGTCGGCGTGACTGCCCGGTAGTCATAGGTTGACAGTAGCAAGAGACCGACAACTGTCAGTCACCCACGTTACGCTTTGTTATTGTAAGCAGCGGCGGTCTTTGCGGATTCAACTCGCAGACGCCGATCGTCCCGAATCGCTGTGCCTCTGGATGACGGAAATTCGATCGGCCGACGCTGAATCGCCCATCGTCTCGGCCGTGGCCGGAAACATATCCGCAAGGGACAGACACGACTCGCGAGGAGTGAGAATCCGAGCCGGTCACCAACGGGCTGCGGTGAAAATCCTGAGGACAACCTGCATCACATAGCTGACCCTCTGGACGCAGCCTATCGGGACCGAATTCCGGGATGTCATGGGTATCGATGAACTACTCAAAAGTCTTTCGCCGGATGCGATCCTCCGGCGTGTTCGATTCGGTGACCGGCGGAGGGTGAGGGCGGTGTTGTTCCGTGGACGATGACGACTTCCTGAGCGAGAACCCACATGGCTCTGAGACTGAGATCGTTCTGGCATCCCGACACTTTCGATCGTCCTTCTATCCGTCCCGCAAGAGGATTCCGCCTCGGCCGTCACTCTGGTCCGGAACGACCCTCACAACCACAAGCGCGCGCGTGCGGCATACGGGGGCTTTCAATCAAACACGCAAAAGCTCCCATGTAGCAGACGATTTCGGGAGAGAGGACTGACGACGGGAAACTGAGTTCGGGAGCGAGCCATGTATCGAACTTCCTCGGAGAACCGGGCTATAGCGTCACGGAGACTCGGCCTGTTCGATGCGTTGATCCTCCGGAGCGAATCCCGTTCACTGAAATGATCCCGAAAGTTCCCGGCTCGACGCCCTCTCCCACATGAGTTTAGGGTAAACAAAAACATAGTGGTCGCACATGTGCTGGGAGTTAGAAGGTACAACTGGCCGTGCCCCGTCCGCAGCTTGCGTCAGTTCTCCGACTTGAGCTGAGAAGTCGATAGCGTTGTTACTCTCCGGTGAGTATCAGCATTGTACGGCTGATCCTAATTCAAATGAGTGAGACTCCGACTCCACGCGGCCAACCTCAGCTTGATCCGCCTGATACGAATGTCCATATTTAATACCGACGAAAGTATGTATTATCCAATCCCGTGCTCCGCGCGTGTGACAATCTTGGTGGGATTGTGCCTCGTCGAGATCCACTGCCCTGGAAGCGTCGGTGACGCAGCTCGATCGGGAGGCGGCACATTTCTATCTCTGTTGCCGACGAATCCTGCAAGTCCCGGTTTCCGTTCGTTCCGTTACAGTCGCTCCCGGGGTGGGTCTACGGGAACGATCACTTCTTGATTGGTGCTATCCGGAGGCGATCCGGTTTAGAGAGCTCCGCCTCTGGGCTTCAGCCTGTAGAGAACTTGAATGCCCTGATGCTGAACGTAGATTCGTTCGTGTGAGACGCAAATTTCTTCTGTCACCAGAATGATTCCTTTGTCAGGCAAGGAAGCTATTTTGAGCGGAAATGTCATCTTTCGCGAAGTCTCAGAAGACAGCGCAGAGAATTCATAAAGAAAGGCATCAACTCGCAGACCGGCGGCATCTTGGAGCGCTCGAGAAGAAAAAGGTGTGTGCCGTTCAGATCCTCGGGTCGGCGGGGAGCTCTCCGCGCAGAGAGCTGCGGGCGCATCCGATGGCCCTCCGTTTCGTCGGAGCCGGTGTGACTGAATCGATACCATTTGCAGGACTATCGGGTTCGAGCAAGAGACACAAATGAGAAGAAAGCCCAAATCAAACGTCTCCGACAGAAAGTTTTGGAAAAGAATTCGGATGAGTTTTACTTCCACATGAAAAATGCTGCGCTTGTTGACGGTGTCCACCAAGATAAGGTAATTATTCTGGGTAAGGTGAACGTGATCGTATCTACTATAACCTCATCGTCTGATGGTCTCAACCCTCCCCCTTAACGTAGGTCAAAGGTGAAGAATTTTCGGACGAGCAACTCAAACTGATGCAAACACAGGACTTGCGATACGTACAGATGAAACGTTTGATAGAGACTCAAAAAATCGAGAAACTCAAAGCCAACTTGCATTGCATAGGGCTAACAGAAGAGGTGAGAATATCACGGATCTCCTCCAATGTCCTGAGGCGTAAACATCACGTAGTCTTCGAACCTTGCGTTAGATCCTCAGCGTTTATCGTCAGGAATTTCTCGTTTCAGACTCCTAATACACACACCTTCTTTGATGAGGAGGGTAAGCCCATGAAAGACGTAGATCTCGGCGAGAAATTCCAAACGACGCCGGAGCTCGCAGAACGTAAATACAATCGACTCTCTTTGGACGACTTCGGCGTAGACGAAGTTGTGCTGAAGGAGGAGGTGTTGAAAGACGCTGCCAAAGAAGCGAAACGAAAGTATCGAGAACTCGAAAGCAGGTTTGTATCTCTGAATGCATAGCTTCCGTCGCTCGAAACTCTGTTCACAATAATTGTGCTCAAGGGCTCCTTCGGTTCCTACAAAGGGAACATTGCTTGTGCCTCGCACGTGCCGGCGAGTTCAGATAATCCGAGTGGGCATTCGCATCGCTGCGACCCCTCCTCCTCGCTGCTTCGGACTGAGATGGTATTTTTCACACATATTTTTTTTTCTTATTTCCCTTTCCAGAGTCAAACGTGAACAAGCGCTCCGGGTGCTTGAGGAGAAAGTTCAAATGAAAAAGCTTCTCCTCGACAAGAAGCATCCCCCGAAGGCGCGCGTCGTCGAGGGCAGCAAGTCGCAGGCACCGGTTTACGTGTGGGCGAAAGAAAGGAAGCGATAGTTGGCCGAATTCGACTGCGCTTGACGCGATGGTTTGAATAAATTGATGTTTTCGCCAGTCGATAGCGATTAGCTCAAGTACGGAACCGAGGAGCCAGGAAACACGCCCAAAAGAGCGATTCTCGTCAATACCTGGGCCGGGCTGTTTGAGCGATCGTCAACGAGATCGCCGAAATCACTTCAATTCGACTAGTACTGATAACAACGCATCATCTCAGGATTTTATTTGAAGCTAAAAGAGGAGACCTCTTCATTTACACATGGTATCCGATGAGCGATCCCTTGCCGATACACTCGCCAACAAAGAAGAGGAAGTAAATTTCGAGACCGACGAGCGTGTTGAGAGTAGCTTCTCGTACGGTGAGGTTCTTCCATGCCCCGGTACGTGCCGATCTCATGATTTGACCGAAACCGGCGAAGACCTGAATAGGGGGAATCTTGTCAGAATCTGAATCGTGCCCGTGACGGGAATCGAATGTTTCCGATGGGCAGCAAGCCACAGCGGTGAGAATTCCCAGATAGCAAGGAGTTCCCGACCAAGGAACTGGGGAAGCTGGACTTCCGGGAACTGACCTGCGGGATCTCACGGGGAGAGGGTGGAATCAATTCAACCTTGGCATTGCTCACGAATGTCGCAAAGGCAGGTCTGGCACCAGCTTTGATTTGGTGAGCAAGCGCGACCAACTGAAAAAAAAATCGAATCATGAGACTCCTGCTCCTGGATGACAGTCGTGAGTGAACCAATAAGTCAGAATGCACACAATCTCCTCTGTTCGAGCCAGCCACAAAGGAGGAGGAATCAGGAATTCGGAGAGCAGGGAGAGACAGCCGAGGGGTTCTCAAGTCTGTTCTCCCGGGAGGGGAGGAAAGGGATACCATTCCACCGGAACTTCGAGTCGAGCACCGCGCCCGACTCAGGATCGAGCCTGATCCGAGCTTGTTGTCTACGAAGGTGAGCCCGCCCATCCTTCGATGCTAGCGGTAGCCGCTCCGCGATAGCCAGAAGCATGTTCTCCCAGGATATCCTTCCCCGAGCTCGTCAACTGGCCACATTTCTATCACAGAGGTCACATTGGCACCGCTGATATTTCGTTCCGATTCCGGCACACGACAGATTTCGGGCAATGTCTCGGACCTCGGGAAGAGGCCATGGATCTTAATCGATGAGCCACGGAGTCTGTGAGCAAGAAACAATAGAAGAAACGAGTGAAATACTAACCCGTTGTGAGAGCGACATCTTCGGACGCAGCGCAAGGGCAGCGAAACGGCACTGTGAAGTTTCGTCTGCTAGCTGTTCCGACTCCTTGTTTTGACACGCCTCTATCGGGAGGTCTTTAGGCGATCGTGTTCTGGCCGGGTTGATGCGTGCCTCTGGATTCACTTCATGAGCTCAACCGGTTTCTGCCTTGAGACAGTGAGAAGCATCTGATGATAAGCGTATGCAGTCTCTCCGCACCCCGTGAGAACGTAAAATATCCGGAACCGCTCCCGGCCTCCTTCCCGGGTACGCTACTATAGCGAATTTCCAGAATATGGAGAACTTCGACCTTAAACCCCATGACTTCTGAAGCCGAAAATTTTTTGTTGCTTTTTGACTTCGGGGAGCTCTCCCGTTCGCGCTTCTTTCATCGTTCTATCTTTTATCTCGCGTTCCTTGCAAAGCTTCGCAAGAGACTTATAGCCTGAATGTCGAGAGTGCCGATTGACTAGGAACGGCGAGAATTTTTCTCAACGACCGCCGTGTTCAATGGATACTTTGTGCAACGAGCTTTCTTAGGAGCGAACGCTCGGCAGCGAATCAAAACATCGTGGCCGGGAAGATTCGAGCACTCCACAATCTGAATCGGAAGGATCGTGAAACGTGTGAGATCGACGGCTGAGAAGCTTGTATTTTCCCACAAGAGCTATCCATTAGAGTAAAGTTCGTTCGAGTCATTCTCCGATGCCGTTTTCGATCCTCCGCCATTACCGATTTCTGCGGCGAAGAATATTTAGAGACATCACTCTTGATGAGTACCTATTCCTATGGGGACAGCTTGATGAAGAGCTACCCCCCGCTGTGTGTTCGGCTACCCAGTGAACGAGTTCAAGAAGTCGTGAAATTCATTTCTTGGATCTGCCGGGAAATCGTCCCTGAGATGAAAGACATATGGTCCTTCGATTCAGTATCGCAGGGTCGTATGGATCAATGAAATCGTGAACCATGATTTTCTCCCGGATTGGCCGTCAGCAGCTTCTCCGAATTCGACGATTTGTCGACTCGATTCCTGCTTTTGATTCGAATTATTTCCCCGTAGGGATTCTTGAGATTCAGTAGATTGACTTACACCGAGAACGTCGTGATCGGACGGAGAAAGCAGTCACGCATCTTCCGCGGTATTTACCCGATTCTAGATTCGGGGCTCCCGAAGTTCCTTGCATGGGACTCCTTCGTCGCTACAGAGGATTTTCTCTCAATTCCGGAAGGAACACGGTCCATCGCCTGCGTCGTATGACGGCGATCATAATCAAACACGGGATCTCGAAGATAGTGCCGCCTAATTGGAGGGAGCACGAGTAGGGGCTCGAGCAAAGTCGAAAGTCTCGTCAAGATTTCGGGGGGAGGAGCAGTACTGTTTGAGGGAATCGAGAGGGAACTGAAGGGATGCGTTTCGAAGAGAAGAGCACGCAACAGAGGTGTGCGAATTCTAGACATGTAGAGGCAGCCGTTGGAGATAATCATCGGAATTCATGGGGGAACTCGCTCGAGCTTAACTGCTTCATGCGAACGGCTACACAAGCTCAATTACCTTGATGATTCAAACAGACAAGTGCACCCAATTGATCCACCTGTCGCATCTACCCCCTTCGACAAAGGGAGGACTTCATTGCGCGAATGGTGCCGAAATCTCTTTTTTTAGCTACATGAGGGGGCTGTAGAATCAGAGGCTCACCGCATCCTATGTTCGGATAGGGTGAACCCCGTATCCGGTTTTCTAAGCGGAATCTCAGACCGTCACTATCTGATTGAAATCTCTATTTCCAAACCGACCAATGATAATAATAAATAATACTTCATGTAAGGAATAAATCCCGACCGTAGTCATCCCGAGAGTGGTCTTTTCGGTCAGGGTTTTCATGGAAGTCAATCGGACGAGTCAGATGAATAAGAATATCATGATATCATGATAGAGTGGTCCCAGGATGTTGTATAGTGCGTTGAGTCTGATACCCGTGAAGTTATAGTGGGGGAATCAGGGAAGTTTCAAGTAAATGACCGTACTTCAAGAGGGCTGTCGCCAGCGAAACTGTTCCTCGGAAGGAAGGTCCGGTCTCGGTTGGATCTCCTACTTCCAGCCAAATCAGTAACGATCTACTCCATCAACGCTTCCAGCGAGACCTTTGATCCCGTGCAATCGAGGAACACTCCGAACCCTACTCGAGCAAGACTGGTTAGTATTCTCGAGTTGAGAATACTAACTCAGCGGAGTAGTATTCTCGACTTGACTAATTCCCAATTCGAATTCCGCGCTTGCGACGACGCCTCCCCGGGAACGGTGCGGCTGCGGAAGAGGGATGATGAAACGAACGAGAAGCGCCAATCACTCTTCATCCGGCTCTCAGACGTCAGACGGTGCTTCACATCGGCGAGGATGTCGATATCCTCCGTCGATGTTTCCTCCCGTTTTTTCTTCAGGTAGGAATCGGAATCAGCCTTGGTGCTCTTGAAGACAATCACGGTCTTTTTTTATCGGGTGAGACAATCTGAAGTTCTCGCGAAGCTAGTTGGTTTCTTACTGAGACCGTCGATGCGAGCTCCCTCCGCTTGGGAAAAAGTTGAACGATTGCCCTTCAACGAGTCAAAGAAGCAGCTCGGTAGTGCTCAGGGATAGGTGGTGATCGCGCGAGATGCGCCGCTGATTTCTCAGCTAAGTCTACCCACGGAGTGGGAATACTGGATTGAAATCTTTCACCGAGGTCAGAGATCAAGTGTATCTTGCAGGCAAGTAGGCGGTATCTGAAGTGAAACCAGTGAGTAGAGGGGCGTCTGGCCGCGGCTCCCTCATTTGTTGTCTTCCGCTTGGTGCGCTAGGACGTGTCTCGTGCGGAATGATAAAATTTTCCTGCAAGAGAACCTCCGCGGTCCGCCCGGTGAGTCACTATCCCGCGAAAACTTCGCGTGCAACACCTGTTGTCCTGCGGGGACTGCGATAAGCGAGTCGCACAGCCCTCTTGACGCCCATTCTGCCCTCTCGGACTGGATGCCAAACGGGGGATTGATGCCGCGTCTGACACGTGTCGCCAAGCTATATTCACTCTCGGCCTCGACGCTGGGGTGAATAAGGCCTAAGAGCTCTGCGCACCGCCCCCACACACCTAGCTTCGTTCCTTCGCGGTTCCTGATCCGCTCTTAGAACCCAAGCCAAACTCCCCTGAGCGAACCGTCTAATTCGGGCCCATTTCGGTCCCCTTTCCGCACAATTCCGCTGCGATCCTCTCACAATTGCGGGATTCCGCCGCCCCTCACAAGAATGGAGAGTTGATTAATGTTGGAGCGGCAGATTTTTTTTCAAAATATTCGTCCTGGCGAGATGCTTCCGATCCAATACAGCCGACACGGGTCCTGAGACGCCGGAAGCGCGTCCCTCTGACAGGACTGAGCTCGAGTATTCCTCGCCTGTCCCGAGCATGAAATTGTATTGCTTCATTGGTATCGCGACCCTCAAAAACGAGCCTCACTGAGACCCCGTGATGGAGCTTTTGTCGGGGATCCCTGCTCAGCCTGCGACCTAAACCCCGCGTACACAATTGCGTTGCCTGGATTTATTTCGACGACAACCCATACCGCGACTACTCGTGGGATCTCCGCGAAAGTCGGACCTGGCTAGAGCGATCGGCGCAGGAAGGGAAGGTGGGGTACGTCACTTCGCAGCTCGGCATGTCAATCGAGAATGGTGCCGCCAACGAAAATAGGGAGACTCTACTGAATCGATCCGGGGGAGAGTCATTCGATCATTCGGAGCAAATCATAATTTTTCTATTCGAGAATCAAGCCATGTCTCTCTCCCTCTCCGGATCATTCCTCTCTCGCTCAAAGTCTAGTCCGACCCGTCTTCGATCGTATCTCATCTGTGATCCATTCTTCCCAGGAGGCATACGCTCATCAATCTGCACCGAAGGATCGGTGCGGATCGCAAATCGCGGATCATCGAGTTCGCCCGGCGCTCTCTGGCGGGGTGACGTGAGGCCTCATGACGCATCGTCATGAGGCCTCGCGTCTTGATCTTCTTGCTTACCTGCATCGATCTCCGTGGGACTCAGTAGAGTGACGCGGCCCCCCTTGTCCTACCCTCACCAGGACAAGGGGGGTCGTTGTGCATGGTACTGATTTTTGCGTTGAGCCTGTTTAGCACCATGGTCGAGATTACGGGCTGGGCTTCGTGACCGCTGTTGAAGAGCTCGTCGAAGACTTTTCAGCCTCCGATCGAAACTGAACGGATGCCCTCCGACGAGGCTAAAGAGCAGCTAGAAGCGGGACTGGCGGTGATTGCGCGAAATGCGCCGCTCATCGCCGCGATTCTCTCGGAGCTGCGCGAATCAACGAACAAGGACCAGGCACTCGAGATCCTGCAAAGAGCGGTAGATTTCGTCGCCTCGTCTGACAGTGACGATTGTCAGAGGCGAATATTGTGCCTCGTCGCTGCCGGGGAGAACAATGTAGAGAGGAGATGGATCGAAGGAATCCGGAAAACGCTGCGGGTTCTCCCATCTCCTGCAGCGCGAAGCTATCTACTGGCCATGGACCTCGGGAAATCGTCAGTGAGCGTAGGGACGTGCGGCAACGTCTACAGTCTCTGTGAGATTCAAGCCGAGACTGTGGCGCAGTACATGTTGCCCCTCAACTCCTCCTGATGGATGATCTCAGATGTGACATCGATTTGCGGTGGATGAAGTCTTCAGTGATGGGAAATCAGATCGAAGAACACTCAGAGAAATCGTATCGAATATTTAATCACGATGCAATCTAGATGTTCGAATAAATTTTTAGCGATTATTTTTCCTTCAATGATTCTCATTGATGTCGAGATTGTTAGAAAATATGTAAATTAATATTTTTTCGGGAAGCGTAGGACGAGCCTTTGTGCCTTGTGCTTCGCCATCAGTCCCATCAGGAGGCTTCGAGAAACGTAAGACACGTTCGATTTCCGTCCTTCAGTATCATCTTCATCGAAATAGACATGCAACCATTTGCTGAGAGAACTCGCTCCCAATGGAGCACTGTGGATGCG